GAAGTTGACTCCACGGTACCGCTCCATGTGGTTCTTGGTGTAGATCTCCAGGTCTTTGTAAGGGTTGACTGACACCAGCACTGACCCAATGTAGGTCTGATTACAATGAGAGGAACATGGTAAACAACATTTGAGACCACAACAAATCCCATTTAAGGAACGCTTCCTAAAGCTGGGCTCACTCACATAGATGAGATTCTCCTTGGAGCGCTTCCGCAGGTTCTCTATGAAGGCCGCCTCGCTGGTGTAGTTCTCCAGCAGGACAAAGTCCTGGACGCCCACCCGGTCTCTGGCTGTCAGAGCTGACTCCATCATGGCCCGCACCCCGTCACTGGCCACCACCTGGGGGATGAACAGCAGCCAGAGGTGACTCAAGCTGTGTCAGCACATCTCAGACTCCACCCTTCACTCATGAGGAGTCTGTCTATCCAGTTTCATGGGGGTCACTGTTTGCCCATAAGGAAAATATTTTCCATGTACCCTGTCACCGATCTGGCCTGCATGGGAAGGTCATAGAGTTGTCACGGTAACCGGTGTAGCGGTAAACCCCGGTAAAAAGGTTTACAATAATAATAACCGTCTTGGTTTTAAAAACTATATCATCTCGGTGGATTACCGTGGCTGCGGCGTAGGCGCGGTGACCCTTACCAGCCACCGTATCATCTGCTGAAGTTGCCGGCAGCACATGCGCACTTTGTTGTTTACAACCAAAACTTTCTTGAAGCTAAAGCTGAAATAATGGCCAAAGGAGGAGACGGCAGCGCTCAGGACATTTATTATCCCTCAAAGAAGACAAAGTGGGAAGTACGGGCATCTTTTGGATATTTGAAGAATGCCGAGGGACAGCTGATAGAAGACGGCTATCCTGTTTGCAGCACGTGCAGAAAAAGTGTCTGTGAAAGGCAGCAACGCTTCAAATCTCATGACACATCTGCGTGACCATCACCCACAACTCTACAGTCAACGCAAGGCAAGCTAACGTTAGCGTTTTAGCTAAAATGCGTGATCCGAGGATTTGGGTTGAGGGAGAACGCAACGAGTCGCTATATAAAGCAGCCGCAGCGCCGCTACCTGCATATAAACCGTGTCGCGGACACCGCCATGTTGAAATGACGCTATGCATTACGGGGCTCCCAGGGGCAGATAAGAGTTGGTCTCTCTCCGAGAATAATTATGAATTTATGACATTTTCCCACATCTGCAAAGCTCACTGGAAGGACACAAACCGAGGACGATACTTTCCTGATATAGGGTTTATTACTCAAGTAAGGGTAAAAAAGTATCTGATTAGAAGGCTACTTGAGTACTGAGTATCATCTGATCTAATATTTTTAAAATGATGACATCAAACAGACAAAAAATAAGAAGTTATGGGCAAATATTGGTATTTTAAAGACTAAAGGGGAAAATGTAAACAAATAAACAACATAATTACAAAATAACTCATTTTAGGCTAAATTTAGACACAAACCGAGGACAATATTTCCTGACATACAGGGTTTATTTAGTTGTCTGAAAATGTAACACATTTAAAAAAATGCCGCGATAATACAGAAAAGTGTGATAATTTTGGTCACAATAACCGTGAGGTTACATTTTCACACCGTGACAACCGCTTCAGCTTTCCAGCCTTCTAAAATCTTCTGTACACACCCCCTTTTCTCAGTGGATTCAGACATTTGTTTTCATCATCTCACAGTGTTTGTGCTTATTTACAATCTGTAGCATAGCTGTGGTCAAAAAGCAACGTTCAGTGGTGGTTGTAAGGTTCCTCAGGCTGTGGTCATTCACCATTATTTGACCATTAATGCTTTGTTGCCTAGTTTTACTGTATTTCTCTTTCTTTCTTCTGGCCTGTTTCTTTTTTCTCTCTCATCTATCAGAGGGCTGGAAAAGACGGTCTAAATACCAAAGTTTTGAGAGGGAGAGAGAAGTGATTACTTCGTTCCAGCTCCCCAGGATATGAGGTGCTCCTGGTGTTTTTGCAGCTCTGTGAGAGAGCCACACACACACACACACACACACACACACACACACACACACACACACACACACACACACACACACACACACACACACACACTAGTCTAGCATTCGTTGTGAGGACTGTCATTGACTTCCATTCATTTTAGTGACTGGATTGTGCCCAACCCTAACCCTAACCCCACCTCTAACCGTAAACCCAAAAGTTCAAAATAATCAAATATATTGAGTAGATGAAACTAATAATATAAAAGAGTTTTGGAACTTAAATGTGTTGCGTTAGTTCAACCTTTTCCCTGTTTTATGTACATAGAACTCAAACGTTTTAATTAAACTGAACTATTTCTTTTTTAAGTAAACATAACTTAAATTAATCAATAAAGAACAACCTAACCTTAATGAGTAATATTAACTATTAAAATATTGATTTATCATTTTATGTTTCTATATTATTCTATTCATCTTTACGTCAACCCTAAAGTGTTTCTGATAAACAGACTTGTATATTTTTTTAATATTTATGGATTTATAGGAAAAACAACCGTGAACTAGCCATTTTTGTGGATTTCAGGAACAATAAACAACTGCTGGGTGCGGTGCATTGTGGGTAGTCATGTTTTCAGTTATTTTGCTCTATTTTGGGGTGTTTATGCATGTTTATTGTGAAAGATTGTTGTTCTCAGTTATTATTTCATTCAATGTTGCAAATGTGGTGTGACTTTTTGTATCACGTTGGCCCCATAAGTGAGGAGGTTGGTCAAAGTAATGGTGTGCCACTTTGCCGTCCCATTGTTATTAATACTGTGGTTTTTCACATCAGATGCTCTTGACTTGACTTGAAGTGATCCACTTTCATTGGCTGTTAGCATCTATAGGTGTTTGAGTCATAATCTGGTGCTAGTTACTGCCTTCACCAGCCTGCCACATAGTCATTTTAAAATAAATTCAGCTTATTTGGGTTAGGGTTTAATAGGTCCATTTAGAGTTCATATGAGTTATAATATTTAAGTTAGTAAAAACATGTAATAAAGTTCAAATTAATTAAAATATTCAAGTTTAGTGAAATTAAACTTTGTAAGTTGCTTAAGTGCTAAGTTATAGGTTGAGGTAGTTAAATGCTTTAATTTATCAGGTCATATTTTTTAAGTTATGGTAAACATAGTTTTTAGATAAGTTAACTTAACAATTATTAGTTAGTGTTTCCTCATAAATGTTGAGTTCAGTGAACAATTTTGGGGTTACAGTGCAGTCAACTCCTAACCCTACCTTAACTAAAATTTAATTCCCACCATACTTCTAAAAATAACCAGTAGAGCTCTGGGACGTTGTCCCATAATGAGGACCAGCAACATGTCCTCACTTTGCGAAAAACATTTGTTTTGGTCCTCACTTTGATGTATAGACCAACACACACACACACACACACACACACACACACACACACACACACACACACACACACTCACACACACACACACACACACAGGGATACACACAAACACACTCACACACACGCACACACACACACACACACACACACACACACACACACAGGGATACACACAAACACACTCACACACACGCACACAGGGATACACACAGAAACACACACACACACACACACACACACACACACAGGGATACACACAAACACACTCACACACACGCACACAGGGATACACACAGAAACACACACACACACACACACACACACAGGGATACACACAGAAACACACACACACACACAGGGATACACACAAACACACTCACACACACGCACACAGGGATACACACAGAAACACACACACACACAGGGATACACACAGAAACACACACACACACACACACACAGGGATACACACAGAAACACACACACACACACACACAGGGATACACACAGAAACACACACACACACACACACACACACACACACAGGGATACACACAAACACACTCACACACACGCACACAGGGATACACACAGAAACACACACACACAGGGATACACACAGAAACACACACACACACACACACACACACAGGGATACACACAGAAACACACAAACACACTCACACACACGCACACAGGGATACACACAGAAACACACAAACACACTCACACACACACACACAGGGATACACACAGAAACACACAAACACACTCACACACACGCACACAGGGATACACACAAACACACTCACACACAGCAAGATAGCAGGTTACAAGATGCTACAGGATTTCAAACCTTCAATCATGACTAGATGACCAGATGACTAGATGACTAGATGACTAGATGACCAGATGACTAGATGACTAGATGACCAGATGACTAGATGACTAGATGACTAGATGACCAGATGACTAGATGACCAGATGACTAGATGACTAGATGACTAGATGACTAGATGACCAGATGACTAGATGACTAGATGACTAGATGACTAGATGACCAGATGACTAGATGACTAGATGACCAGATGACTAGATGACTAGATGACCAGATGACTAGATGACTAGATGACTAGATGACTAGATGACTAGATGACTAGATGACTAGATGACCAGATGACTAGATGACCAGATGACTAGATGACTAGATGACCAGATGACCAGATGACTAGATGACTAGATGACTAGATGACTAGATGACCAGATGACTAGATGACTAGATGACCAGATGACCAGATGACTAGATGACTAGATGACTAGATGACTAGATGTACAACCATTTAAGTGGCAGGTCAGACGCCTTAGCCACTGAAGCATGCTCTAAACTGAACAAAATAAAAAATATGCTAAAAAATAAAATAAATAGAATAAAAGGTTAAGAAACTAACATGGAGATGTACGGAACCCTCAGAGGAAATGTGTGAAATAAAAATAAAACCAAGCAAACCAACCGCTGTAAGGACTGCTGGTCGTTCCCAAACACGGACTGGAATCTCGGGGGGGGGGTCGTGCTTTCCCGGTGCTGGGGCCGAGGCTCTGGAATGAGCTACCTACATGTGTCAAACAGGCCACCACGCTCAGAAATTTTAAGAGGCGTCTGAAAACACACTTTTATTCTTTGGCTTTTACTCAGCTGGAGTCTCGTTAATGGGCTCCCCACCTCGATTTTATACATGTTTCTGTTGGTTTTTATGTTTTTATTTCTTTATGTTCATTTCTGCTGTGCAGCGCTTTGTTTGGTCCTTGGGCCGTGTGAAGGCGCTGTATAAATAAAGTTTAGTAGTAGTAGTAGTAGTAGTAGTAGTAAACTAGTAGTAGTAATCCAGATCATTTCTAGAGCAATACAAGAAACTTGTTTGCCAGCATGTTGAATATTTTCATCATGCATCCCTTTGCTGATTATTGCAGA